TTTAAATTTATTTTTTAATATTTGAGTAAATTTTTAACTGTAATTAAATTTCCAATTGACTCTCCGGTGGTGCAATACACCAATAACAAATCACTTATTTTCTATAATAGTATATTTTTTTACGTAACTTAGAATGGCAAACAAGCTGACGGCCCACCTGATGGAAAGTGACAACCGTCGCCTATAGACTTGAGCAGTACCATGGACATAACAGAGTATACTGTTTCGCGCATGATACCCACCATGTGTTGCCATTCCTGAGGACTCAGGTGTTATTCCTCTGTGCCCTGTAAATTCACTGCCATATCCCCACCCTTCAGACCGAAACAGAGCCATGCAAACACAACTGCTTCACGGTAGAATCACGAATGGGACAGAGGTGCTCAAGAAAACTTTTTCACCTTTTAAATTCAGGTATGCTGCGATTACGCACTCCACGTAGGCGTGACCTGGTGGTCGCCGTCCGTCAAGAAGGAGATGGAACAGCTCACCAGCGAGCAGTACGGTGTCAACTCATTCAAAATGTTCATGGCCTATAAAGATGTATGGATGATGAATGATTACGACCTGTGCTGTGCTATGGAGACGTGCGCCGACCTGAAGGCTTTGGCTCAGGTAAGTTTACATACAACTACTCTTAAAGGCAAATAGGAGAGGTGAAATCCTACTTCATGGGAATCTTAATAGCATAGGGCTGTGCTCTTTTCGGTGGTGCTCTTGGCATTCACTACGATTTTCAGCGAGCCTCTTCACTATCAAGAGATACGACACGACACCAACTCTATCTATACTTATAATAAATCTGTAGAGAGGTCAATTCTGTACATGAAATATATTTCCAAAATAACTAACAGGGGGTGATTAGTGATCGATACTGATGCCAAAAATGCAATCTGTAAAATTTTTGTCTGTTTGTATGTTGGTTATAGAAACAAACTACTACAAAAATCTTGACACAATTATTCTTCATACTCCTGGGCAGGTTATAGTATACTTTTCATCACGCTACGATCAATAGGAGCAGAGCAGTAAAGGGAAATGTTGGGATAACGGGAGAAGTTACTCCATTTTTAAGCTTCCGACGCGTGTGCAGCCTTATTGGCCTCTTTTTAAAATGTAAAAATGTCCACCCGTGCGACGCCGGGACAGGCCGCTAATTTTAAATAAAAGCTTTTACAGGTAAATAGTACCTATATACCTGCTTCTTTATTGGCGACGTTTCGACGTAAATTCCACCACGTCCTGTAATGACCACGACGTGGTGTAATCCACGTCCGATTATGTATTTAATATATGTGTAAACAATGCGAAAGATTAAAATTGACACCATTTTTTTCCTTAATCTGCCTGATGTAACTATGCCTTGGTCTCCCCATTCCCCTCCTTTCTTCTATTATTATGTTCATAAATTTAGTAAATTTGTATAATGTGCCAAATTTAATAGATTTTTTTTATACTTTACGAAAATCCGCCTTTTGTACCAGACATTTTTTTTGTAATGTGGTCAATGAAGAATAAATAAAATAAATAATGGACACAATATATTAACGGACAAATGTCACCGATATTTACAACAGACTTCAAAAAAGTAGGAGTTTCTCAGTTCGCTTAAAAATTTTAATTAATTTAATTGCAGGTCCATGCAGAAAATGGAAGTATAATAGCTCGAAACTGTGAGAAACTTCTGGCGGCAGGAGTCAGAGGGCCTGACGCTCACCAGCTGTCCCGAGACGAAGAATTGGAGGCCGAGGCCGTTAACAGAGCCTGTGTTATCGCCAACCAGGTAATTTTGGATTTGTCATTAATATTGTTTATTTAAACTGCAATGCACAATTATATAAATAAATGCACATATAGAGGACTTAACACCTAATGCCGTGCTCTACCAATCAACTATTTACTATATATATATATATATATATATATATATATATATATATATATATATATATATATATATATATATATATATATATATATATATATATTCTAAAATTTCGAAAAAATTCGAATCCAATATAACAATGCTTTCAGGACACTATTGGGGCTACCCCATCAGATATTTGTACGGAAAATTTTTACGCAATACGACGCAAACGAATTGTTTCGCTGTTGGGTAGGGTGCGTGTTAGCTCAAACAGTGTCCTGAAGACAATTGCCGGTAAAATGGACTTTTTCATCCTAAAATATTGGATGGTTATCAATGCAAGAACTCATGACCGCACATTTACTAACATAGGTTAAGGAAATTTGTAACTAACAGGATGGGCCTTAGGTTGTCTTAATAAATAAATAATTATTATTATATTCAACGACGAACTATCAACGGCTGATGTGATAATTAGTAATATGGGCTAGATCAGTTAAAACTTTACTATTTTCTTACAATATCTGTCAGTTTTTAACCCATCTCTGTTATTGGATCGTTTAATTTACCAGAGGGAGACTTTGTACAAAAGTCGATTGCTTGGGTACCTCTGTCCCATTCGTGTTTCAACCGTGAAGCAGCTGTTTGCATGGCTGTGTTTCGGTTTGAAGGGTGGGATATGGCGTGAATTTACTGGGTACAGAGGAATAATACCTGAGTCCTCAGGAATGGCAACGCATGGGGGGTATCATGGGCGAAACAGTATACTCTGTTATGTCCATGGTACTGCTCATGTCTATAGGCGACGGTTACCACTTTCCATCAGGTGGGCCGTCAGCTTGTTTGCCATTCTAAGTTGTATAAAAAAAAAATATTCTAATCGCCTCCCCTGTTTGTTTTCAGGCGAAATCTCCACTCTACGTAGTGCACGTGATGTCTAAAAGCGCAGTACAAGCGCTGCAGATAGCTCGGACCAGGCAGAAGTTGCCGGTGTATGGAGAAACACTTGCTGCTACTGTTGGCACAGACGGTATGTGATCCTACGACCATCATAGATAATGGCGCGGAGGAAAGTGATTGGTAATGCGGACCATCCATTGCTAGCAATATTCCCTATTAAGTCGACCTCCACGTGATTGCTCTTGGAAACCATCTTGCTGAATTAATTACAGTAGGCTAACTGAACTGCCTTTTAATTCTCACCTATCATCCCTCACTGGTGTCCCTCCAGCTTATACCGTTAACGCAGGCTGGTCTACCATTCTATTATCATCCATTAAAAAGCCATAGATAGTGGCGGATTTACAAGCTAGAACTGTCAAATTTAAGGAGAGGTTTTAGGGTCAATTTCTTATCTAATAAAGATGATGAAGGCAATGATGAAGTAATACAATTTCATCATTGTCTTCATCATCATGTCAGTCGTTAACTATCCATTGCTGAATATAGGCCTCCACCGAAAGAGAGTTAATCCATAGCACTGTCTCTGCTCAACGGTGTCATGAGCCAGTATCCGGAATTGAACATACTCTAAACTTGTCGAGTTTCGCAGAATGACAATACAATATTTTGAAAGTCTAGTCAAGTTGGCCACATCTGCTATATATTATTTTAAAAAATTCTACCTACCTACCCGTACAAACTCGGGCCGGTTCGCTAGTTATAATAATATATTATATTAATAACATTGTTATTCTTAGGTACACATTACAAGAACTCCTGCTTCCGCCACGCAGCCGCTCACGTGCTTTCGCCACCACTCCGGCCTGATCCCTCCACTCCGCAGGCCATAGCTGAGGCGCTCGCCGAGTTAGTATTTTTTTTTTTAATAAAACTAGCTATTACACGTGAAATATGGAAAAAAGGAGACAATACGAAAGTCGTTTGCTTGAGCACCTCTGTCCCATTCGTGTTTCTACCGTGAAGCAGTTGTGTTTGCATGGCTGTGTTTCAGTTTAAAAGGTGGTATATGACAGTGAATTTACAGAGTACAGAGGAATAACACCTTAGTCTTCAGGAATGGCAACGCATGGGTTGTATCATGGACGAAACAGTATACTCTGTTATGTCCATTGGACTACTCATATCTATGGGCGACGATTATTACTTTCCATCAGGCGGGCCGTCAGCTTGCTTGCCATTCTAAGTTGCATAAAGAAACTTGTCTTACATCTATGTCATCACAGAGTATTAAGAAATGACAATTTTTTATATGCAAGAAAGCAGCAGAACCAAAAGAATTCTTATTTTCCTATGCCACTGCGTTAGGTTGACTGGAAGAAATCTCTTTTAGAGATAAGTTCGCCTTTGCTAACATTGTTATTAAATTATTGTTGTTACTGTATGTTTTAGTGCAATAAAGAATATATTTTTTTTTTCCGGACAAATCCGGAACGATGACAACCCTAAATTTATCACTAAATTTTTTCAGTACTAAAAATTTATGATGTCGTTTCCAGCGACCACTTACAACTGATTGGCAGCGACAACTGTACTTTCCACGAGAAAGACAAGGAACTGGGGAAGGACGACTTCACCAAGATACCCAATGGGGTCAACGGAGTGGAGGATCGTATGGCCATCCTGTGGCAGAAAGCTGTCAATACGGGTATGATTACAAAAACATGTATTTGCCTATTTTTGATGAAGAATGAAAGTGATAAACACGTTGCTCTACCTTATATTGAGGTTCCGAGTTCTGTTCCCGATCGGTCGAAACAAAATTTTCTGAATTGAATGAAAATTAATTTTCAATCGACTTTAAAAATATAACTTCGTCGGTTATAAACTGATTTGGATTTTTTTATCTGAAAGGATTTACTTATGTTCAGATTCCTCGTATAGAAATTTTATCAAAATCGATTCAGCATTAATTTAGTTTTGAAATCAAATTACGGATTTTCTTACGACGGAAGTCGTCTTTTTTGTGGAACGCAATCTTAAACTGCGTTTGCTGTTTCATTAAGTATACCCACACCACTGCATTAAAAATTAGGTTCTTAACTTTTTCGCCGTTTTTGTTATAATTAAATGTAAAAAAATATTTTGCTGTCGTATTAATAACGATTGTTAATGAAGTAAAATGAATTTATTTGAACATTAATGCATAGTGAGACTTTAATGTACAGTGTTGTTCATTCAAGACTATCCGATATCCACCAGGCGTTATGGACCCGTGCCGCTTCGTGGCAGTGACCAGCTCGAACGCGGCGAGGATCTTCAACCTGTGGCCGCAGAAGGGGCGAGTGGAGGCGGGCTCGGACGCGGACGTGGTCGTATGGGACCCGCGCCTGCAGCGGACCATCTCCGCCGCCACCCACCATCACGGTGTGGACTTCAACATCTTCGAGGTAGGTCTAGGACATTTCTTACTTTCTTTCCTTCCCTCCCCTTCTTTCTAGTCATACGCTGGTATTAGAATGGTGGCTGGTTCATCCGTCATACTCGTGAACTGCTTATAGGGATTGAATAATACATATCAACAATGTATCAGCCTTTAGCTGTCCACTGCTGAACATAAGCCTTCCCTTGGGAGGCCCTCACAGTAGTTGCCGTCGAACAGTTGTTTGTATGGCTGTTTTTTGGTTTAAAGGGTGGGATATGGCAGTGAATTTACAGGGTACAAAGCATAACACCTTAGTGCTCAGGAATGGAAACGCATTAGGGGTATCATGGGCGAAACAGTGTACTCTATTATGTCCATGATACTGTCCATAGTTCATGTCTATAAGCGACGGTTTTTTTTTTATGGGTGAAAATGGTAACTCCGCCTGCGCTAACGGGATACGCTGGCGGAGCACCAGTGAAGGGTGATAGATGAGAATGAGAACAGGCCAGTTAGCCCATCATGATGAATTCATCAGGAATTAACCATGATAGTTTCCAGGGAGAACCGCGACGAGGTCGACCTGGTTGGGTATATTGCTAGCAATAGGATTCTGTCTCCATTACTAACAATCCCTTTCCCCACATATAGGCGACGGTTACCACTTTCCACCAGGTGAACTGTCAGCTTGTTTACCATTTCAAGTTTCTCTGAATAGCATACTAATTCAACCATTCATTCGTACCTTTGGGGTGTTATGCCAGTAGTTGCCACACTTGGCAGGCGGGTTGGCAATAGCATAGCTAATGATTTTGATTGAATTATTTAGAAACTTTATTGCGTCAATTATACACTTCCTGAGAAAAGGGAAAACTTGTATGTTCTAAAAGCCAAACTCTTTGCAGGGTCAAGATGTGGTGGGTAGCCCGCAGTACGTTATCGTCAACGGCCGAGTGTGTCTCGACGACGGAGAGTTGAGGGTGGCAGAAGGTACCTATTTATTTATTTATACTTTTGTACATACATTTTTAATATAGGTTTTTTTTTTATGGATGATAATAAATTGGTAATCCCACCTGCACTATCGGTATATGCTGGCGGGGCACCAGCGAGGGATGATAGATGAGAATGAAAAGGCAGGTCAGTTAACCCATCGTGATGAATACACCAGGAATTCAGCACGATGGTTGCCAGGGGGGACCACGTGGAGGTCAACCTAATAGGGTATATTTCTAGCAATGGGCTAGTCCGTATTACTAACAAGCCCCCCCTCCTCCCAAGTATGGGGCATTATTAAATGTTACATTTATTTTTAATACAGGTTACGGAAAGTTCCTGAAGACGCCAGTGAACAGCCCATACGTGTACGGGGCTCCGCCGGCCGCAGCCCCCGAGCCTGAGCCGGTGTCGCCAGCCATCCACACGCCATCCCGTGTCACCAATGGAAACACGCCCTCTCCCGGTCAGTTTTTTCATGAATTATAAAGTTTTTTTTACAATACAGGTGGCAAACGAGCATGCGGCTCACCTGATGGTAAGTGACTACCGCCGCCCATGATCACCCATAACACCAACGGCATTGCAGGTGTGCTGCCGGCCATTTAAAAAGGAATATACTCTTCTCTTGAAGGTAACTGTCTATGCCATAAAGTCCCGGCATAAAATGGGCCACCACTTACTGTCCCATAGAAGGTGACTAAGGAAATTTAATAGTAGAGGAATGGGCAGCATCGTCCCTTTTAAAACATCACCAAAACCTAACTGCAGTTGCCAATCTGCTTGCCAAACTGGACAACTATTTGCAAAGTCCCTCAAGAGGGTAGCCTGTGTTCAACAGTGGAGAGTTAACGGCTGTCATAATAGTGATTAAGGTTTAAAACTAGAATTGTGTCTTCCATATATTGCAGAGAAAGGAAAAGGGAGAGTTCTCGTTGGTATCAAATTCGTCTGAATGGGTACCTCTGTTCCATTCGTGTTTCTGCCATGAAGTAACAATGCTAGCATAGCTGTATTGGTCTGATGGTTGGAATATGTCAGCGGAATTACAGGCATTACAATCATCAATGGTAATACATGATATTGACCGTGGGCGTCACAGTATATCTTTAGACGTCCAAGTGTTGTCCTAGCCTATATGCGACAGTTACCATTTTCCATCAGGTGAACCATCAGAATATTTGTTATTTTAAATTGTATAAATTCTATTATTAACCCGTGATGTCCCACTGTTGGGCAAAAGTCCAATTCAAGGTTTCTTCAAACTGCTTCCTTTTTTAATTGTAATAAAAATATTGTTGGTGATTAGATCTGAAGGTGCTGAACAAACAGCTGGACGGTATGTCGGTGACGTCATCAGGCTGCAGCACTCCCACCGGCCGCAAGATGCGCGACCCTGGGCAGCGGGACCTGCAGAACTCCACCTTCTCAATCAGCAGTCAGTATTAATTAAACATCAACAAAGTTATCCATTCTTAAATCATTCAGACATTTTGTATATACGCAAGAATCTTCAGATATTTAAAAAAAAAACAGCAGCTAATATGATGATGATGATAATGATGATGATGATGATGGTGGTGGCAAAAATTAAAAATTCACACAAACTTTCACAATTAGAACTAGCGATTCGCTCTCTCTGTACAAGGATGCAATTAACTACTTGACAATCATAATTTCAGCCATTATCCGTCCACTGCTGGACATAAGCCTCCCCCATAGACTGCCATAAAGAACGATCCTGAGTCATGTACTTAATAAAAGTTTAGTTAATTAATACCTTCTGACAAAAAATATCAAAATGACAGTGAAAGCCATTTCAAAGTCCAATATGTATTGTTAGTGATGTAGACTGAGAATCCCATTGCTAGCAGTATACCCAACCAGGTCGACCTCCTCGCGGTTCCCCTTGGAAACTATCATGGTTAATTCCTGATGAATTCATCATGATGGGCTAACTGGCCTGTTTTCATTCTCATCTGTCACCCTTCACTGGTGCTCCGCCAGCGTATCCCGTTAGCGCAGGCGGGGTTACCATACCATTTTCACCCATAAAAAAAAAATTGTCACAAAGACTTTGTTTTATACTCAGGAATGAGATAATAAGTATATATATCCATTTACAGAAGAGGTTGAGGGTCTGGACACGAAGACGTCAGTTCGCGTGAGGAACCCACCAGGCGGCAAATCATCAGGCCTGTGGTAAACCATCAGGCGTTGGAACCGATTGGGCTTCAGCAATGCACGTCGCACGTGGAAATTATTAAACGAATTAGTATGTAAAGGACGATAATTGATTGACTAAAAACATTATTCCGACTGAATTAAAACAATACGCCATCTTTGTCAGTTCACGATGGTATGAAAGGGATGGGATGTGATTTGAATTATTTCTTATTTAGTTTTTATAAAATTGGTACCAATCTACAATATATGTGATAGTACATATATATAAAAAAAAACATATTAATACAACATAACACTGGTGACAAATATAAAACTGAAATTAAAAATGACAAATTAGTCTAGATTTAGTAATGGAGTCTAGATTTAGTAATGGAATCTAGATTTAGTAATTGGCATTGAGAGAGAATTTGAATAACTAAATTTTAGTATCAGGACTAACACATTTTATTTTCTTTTTTTTGTTTTTTTTTTTGTATTAATAAATTATTAAGAGAATTGTGCTGGCGTTATTTATAAAAATATCTTCCAGTATAAATATATCACGACAAAAAAAAAAAACAAAAAATAACAAAATATAAAGTTATAGAATTTTTTTTATACCACAAAGGTACATATATACAATACGCACATATATAGAGGTTTCGTTGATTGTTACTCCACCTACGCCTTCATTAATCGGTGATTGGACACCGAAAGCTGTATTGTAATAGCTGGATCAAAATTATAATGTTGTTATGTTGTACCTCTCCCTAATATGTTTCAATTTGATAATTCCACTTCGGAACTACTGTTTTACACCTACCGTCGTAATTTAAATTTGGAATAAATAAATCTATTAAAAATTTAGTACACATTTCTTTTATTCATTATTGCATACAAAAAGGATTTTATTAGAATAATAATTAAACATAATATCGCACAAGGGTGAGCTTATCTTTAAAAGAGATTGCTTCCAGCAAACCCAATATAAGATAAACTGACAGGGAGACTTTGTACAAAAGTCGATTGCTTGGGTACCTCTGTCCCATTCGTGTTTCAACCGTAAAGCAGTTGTGTTTGCATGGCTGTGTTTCGGTTTGAAAAGTAGGATATGGCGTGAATTTACTGGGTACGGAGGAATAACACCTAAAATCTCAGGAATGGCAACGCATGGGGGGTATCATGGGCGAAACAGTATACTCTGTTATGTCCATAGTACTGCTCATGTCTATAGGCGACGATTACCACTTTCCATCAGGTGGGCCGTCAGCTTTTTTGCCATTCTAATTTGTATAAAAAAAAAAGTTCATTAGTTACAGGCATACATGTGTACCAATCGACTTAAATGGTATAGTTAAAAAATAAATAAATAAAAGATTTTTACAATTGAAAACATTTTGGTCCATAGGATAAAGATTCCCCTGTAATATCTAATGGAAATTTTAATTAGAGACCCACCCTTCAAACCGAAACACAGCCATGCAAACACAACTGCTTCACGGTAGAAACACGAATGGAACAGGGGTACCTAAGCAATCGACTTTTGTAGGTTTAGAGAAATGGCGTCTTAGAAACTCCATTATATGTCAAAAATAATTTAACACATACAAAAACAAATTTACTGTTCATTTGACGAAGCATTTATTGAGGGACATTATTTAGATAACGTGAATGATGGATATTTGAGAATTGTGAAGGTATTAGGTATTCGACTTGGTTTAATTTTTCCACGTGTGGACAAACGTCAGCGCTTGGAACAGCTAAGAACCAATTTAATAATATTTCTTTGTAACCAAATGCTTTTATAAGTGTTAGACTGTTTAACTATAGGTCACGACATATTGGTTATGTATTTATACGGTTTTACATATGCTGATGTACTTTTACATATCCCCATCGATGGATAAAAATGAATAAGGTATAAACAAACCTAAACCAAACCCTAGGCATTAGCCTAAAATACTAAATAATCAAATTCTAGTTACATATTAAAATTCCTTAAATACTAATACTAATTATAAGTAATCCCCCAACGCACCACACCGAGGCAGCGCACCCAAGATACTGGCAACATTACCTCTTTGGATTGCCAAACTTATCTTTTGGGCAAAGTAGCTACCAGCTCTTGGGTCACCAGTAACCTCGATGAGGCGCGCTGCGATCGTCCGATTCATTTTTATCGTTACATATTAAAAGTCGACGATATGTCTAAGTAAAAGTTTTTTTTTAAAGTATATAAAAAAATTACCCTATTAATTAATTAAAAAAAGACAAAATATTTCTACTTATAATGTTGATAAACATTTGCACTTACTCTGCATGCTTTAATAATTTTATTATAATTAAAAAAAAAACTTAAATTAAAATGCAATTTAATGAGACAAGACGCCATTACAAGGAAGTTGATACTTATCGAAATTAACCATATGTTATATATACAATGTTGCCAACATTAGGCACAAATATTAAATACCAACCTACAGTCACCAATCATCAAGTTATGGGTCCAGCACCTCTGTTGAGTCTGATAGTACGGTTGTACTACAGATATATCTGTATATATATATATATATATATATATATATATATATATATATATATATATATATATATATATATATATATATATATATGTATATATATACAGACTGTATACAGTTGTAGTTTCATCATAAGCACATGGATAAAGTTGTTAAATTTTCTTGCTGTTGCTACCATCCTTTGTGTTTATTGTCCATTGATGGGGAAGGGAAATATAATAAAAGTCATTCTTTTACCGACTTTGTATGCATAGATTTCATAGTTTATAAAACTTGACACATTTTTTTTTAAAGCAAAATGAGTCGTGCCAAATAAAACTATTTTCTTATCAGAATAATTGTTAAGAAAAATTATTGTTTTTTTTTTTTTCTGTGCAAACATTTTTAATATTATTCAAACAGTAACTGTGATTTGAAAAAATATTTGTAGTATCTTTTTATATACTTGGCATATTTATTAAACTATTTCGATATTTTTTTTTTTAATAAATAGAAAAAAGGCATTATTGGCATTGGTTTAATAAATTAGTAAATTGACTTAGTAAAAAAAAAAAGTAAAAATATATTTATTATCAAATTATGTACAAGCATAAAATTTATCATTGATTCCTACATATAGAAATAACAATCAGCTTTCTAGTTATACATATTTACCTACATAATTATGCCAAGTATAAATAAAGGTACCTACTGAATGCATTATGGAATCTATGCATATTTGAAACATAAATGTTTTAAACAATACACAAGCATATATATGACAAATAGTTTCAACATTAGTATTTATGCTATCAAATATATAAAACTTGATCTGCTATCAGGACCAGTAGAGTTTTACAATATCTTATATGGTTTAGGTACATTGTACATACCTACTTTTGTAGGTCCCGACCATTGACAGGACAATTCGGGACACATTTGTCAAAGTTTTTTAAACTCTGATTTAGTAACCATCTAGTGGGATTTATGACTCAGTATATGTGTTTGATCCTATATATTTTATAGTGTAATATACTTCACATAATATGTAGTTAACGAATTTAACTGCGCATAGAATAAGATAAATTTCAATCGAAAATAGGTGACTTGTTTGTGATATGTAAGTTGTTGTGATTGAAAGTTGATAGGTACATTTATAACACGGGCTAGCTAGCACACCTTTATCTAGAGAAGGACAGGTATGTTCAAATTTTGTGCGCATTTAAATTACAATACAAAAAAAAAAGAATTAATTGACCTCACATTGACTTTGGAAAATTATTTTCTAATATTAATAATTAAATAGGACAATTAGAAACCACAAATGAAACTTCCAGCATGTTTTCCAATTGCTAATCACATGTGTCAAAATTTGGGGTCAAATCTTTTTTTTTCATTTAACCGTTTATTAACTATGTTATTGTTTTAATAATAAATACGTTGTTTGAGTGGTTCCAATGAATATTGAAGTCACTGGCTGAATATTATTAAGTTAACAATACGTAATTTAGCAAAAAAAATATTACAAAACATTTAAACATCAAATTTAGCTAATCATTGTGAGCCAAAGAATTGTGGACTCGGTGTGACCTCAAAGATTGGTTAAGCGACATCTATCGGATGTATGTTTTGTTATATTTAACGGCTGCGGGTGGCTTTGTTGGCATTAAGGCAATATTGTGCATAGTTATTTATTTTCTATAACATAATAGTTTTAGATTAAGACGATTATCAACTTATGAATGTTTGTTGCATGCCTGTTTGACATTTTGTATGTTGACAAATATTTAATTATTTTACTATATATATGTTACCTATTTTAATTTGTTAAGTTGCCGCCTTCGATGAATTTATTTATACTTGACTTATTTAGTAACAAACTTGGATCACTAAATATGCCAAATATAAATAATTTATATTTAAACACTGATTTTAACATATCGATGCGGCACATTCAAGTTGTATTAGAAAAAAAAATAAACATGTAAAAGGTTTATTCAAATTTGTAACATTATGTTGTGTTAACGTAATTATTATCTATGGTTTGTCTGTCTGTTTATTCTAAGTTAGTTATTAAATGTTTTATTGTTTTTATACTAAGCACTTTTAGGCCATAGTGATTCTATAGAAGTACGTCAGATGTGCATTGTGAGTTTTGTATGCTTTCAATTTTAAATGATTATACCAAGAGAAATGTTAATGATTTTGCTTGATATTCTAATGACACATTTAAAATTATTTAAAAATAACACTGATCACAGCAATACTGTACCTTTAGGTATGTATTTTAATAAACTTGTTAAAATATGCAACTATTTTATTTTAAATTTATGTAAAAAGAACATTTTTAATTGTCACAAAATATTATTAATATTTCATTTTTTAAGACCATCGTCCAAATTTACTATTTCATGTATAAACACTGTGTGAGATATCACACAATCATTTTTATGCTTACTTTTTTAGAAACGCCTGTCATAAAATGTCACGGTAATAAATAAATTTATGTAATAAAAAAAAAGAAGTAATCCTATCAATTCACCCTAGATTTTATCGTCAAAGTACAAATCTTTTGACAGACTCGTTTTTTACAATTTCCCATATGTCCAGCTAGGTATTGCGTGTAGGTACAGGCGTCACGATTTTATAGCATTTTACATTTTTTTCTAAATGTAATATGCATTGTCACGAATAAACAATGTAATCTCGAGAATTTGTTTCATTTCCTTATGTTACTAGTATTTACTGTGCATCTTACTAATATAATAATTAAATTGGATTCCACAAGAGAAAACGACGTTATCTGTGGCAAAACCAGTTATTTTGGTTAAAAAAATATTGAGCTTTTTTTGATAAAATTGCAATTAGAGCAATCTGTAAGTATATCCTTCCAGATAAAAAAAAAAAGTTTTCTAAATCGGTTTAAAACTGACAAAGTTATGAGGCAATAAACATATTTTTTTATACAACTTAGAATGGCAATCAAGCTGACGGTCACCTGATGGAAAGTGGTAACCGTCGCCTATAAACATGAGCAGTACCATGGACATAACAGAGTATACTGTTTCGCCCATGATACCCCCCTTACGTTGCCATTCCTGAGGACTTGGGTGTTATTCCTCTGTACCCTGTAAATTTATTGCCATATTCCACCCTTCAAACCGAAACACAGCCATGCAAACAACTAAATTCTAGTACATACTTATTTTTATGAAAGTTATGCGTATGAGTGTGACTTGTCAGTGTTGCTTTCCTACTTCGTTATCATTTACGACCCTAATTTTAAAAACGACTAAGGGAGTATTTAAAATTTACATCAAACTTACGTTTAACGTTTGACAGTGCCTTGCATGAAAGTTCGTATTCTAAGAACAAGGAATTACATAGAAGGAATAATAAAATAAAAACTGTACATCATATGGTTGCCTCCTTTCTTCTTATGCAAATATGCTTAGTAAAAAAAGTATGAAAGATACGCCATCAATTGCTATTATTGTCAATGATAAATTTTACATTACTAGAATTTTTTTTATTGGTAGAAAATGGAATAATAATAAATAATAACCACCTGCGCTAACGGGATACGTTGGCGGAGCACCAGTGAAGGGTGATAGATGAGAATGATAACAGGCCAGTTAGCCCATCATGATGAATTCATCAGGAATTAATCATGATAGTTTCCAGGAGGAATCGCGAGGAGGTCGACCTGGTTGAGTATATTGCTAGCAATGGGATTCTCAATCTCCATTACTAACAATCCCTTTCCCCCCGACATTACTAGATTAGGTATATATTTGACAGAGTTTATGTAGAAAGTATGCAAGTAGGTTGTACCTGAATTTGGTAGGGTTATGCGGCCGTTATACACTAGCCTGCTATCAATTGTCAATTTTATCATTCCTATGTTTTATATTTTATATTCCTTGTTCTTAGTTCTTATCTAAAAGTGCGCCTCTAGTGGATGGTATCAGAAACTCACATTTTGATACAAAAAAACAAGATATGTTAGACGTAGGTAAACTTGCACTTTTCATCGCCGTTACACTATCCACACATTGTAGACGCTTACCTTATGGCCCATAATTCGATAGCGAGTGCGGAACACGTCTGAATATATAGTTATTTTTTTAAGGGTGGAATATAGTAATGAAGTTAGGGGCAAAGGCAAAATACTTTGGTAGTCAAGAATGACAGCACATGATGAATACCATGGGAATCACAGTTTAGTTCAATAGTAATCAGTGGCAGACTAAAGGAAGGCTGAAGAAACGGTTCGTCCCGGGCTTTTGATCCTGGGGCCTCCAGATGCATCCATTTTCCTCAACCATATCCATACTCTATGTATATTTGTCTAATTTAAATATCACTTGCAAGATTTAAATTAACTAAATAAACATAAACACTGATACATGCGCCACTAAGTCCAGTTTCAAAATTAATTTACAAAAATTCTTAATTGAGAGGCAAAAGTTAGACATTCCAGCAAGTTACCTCTATGTTCCACGTGTCTGCTAGATAAGCTGTCATATCTGTCTGTTTACTGTATATCTATCTATTTACTGTATGGGATAGTCTGGTGGTATTGTTTTATTGTTACCCTATTCCCTTTGGCCGCAACAGAATATCAGTGCTTTGCTCTTTTGAGGGCGAAGCAATAAACTGAGTTGTGGCCATTTTGTATTGTTATGGCACACGCACAAACGAAATATTGTATTTGGCTTTGTTTTTTTTTTATTATTATTATGTTATCTCTCTTTTTATGTTGTAATTTGTGTGCTGTAAGTAATGCAAACAAATTATCTATCTACATACAAATGTGAATTGAATAAAAAGTTTGTAATTACACCAACTTCTTAAACTGGGCGCCTCATGCAGCTTTGCCGCCATGGGCCTCTGACGAGGTTAGTACACCACTGATGTTTGTAGATTCCATTTCCCATACTGTTTACTATTTCATCATCTTCCTATCCTTATCCCAATTATTATTTGAGGTCGGCGTAAAATGTTTTTTATACATATTACAAAACGATTTGGCTTATAGTTTGACGACCAGTCGCCTACGTGACGTCAACCCTCTTTGGGAATGTTTGCCATTTAAAATTGTGGAGTTAAATATCAAAATAAGGGGCGAAAGGGATTGTTAGTAATGGAAACTAAAAATCCCATTGCTAGCAATATACCCAACCAGGTCGACATCCTCGTGGTTCCCCCTGGAAACTATCATGGTTAATTCCTGATGAATTCATCATGATGGGCTAACTGGCCTGTTTTCATTCTTACTGACCACCCTTCACTGGTGCTCCGCCAGCGTATCCCGTTAGCGCAGGCGGGGTTACTATACCATTTTAACCAAAAAATATCAAAATAAAACAAGTGAAATACAATTTTTAAGTTGTTTATTAAAATAATATTGGTTCAACTGAACACAAGATAATGGGACCGGACCTAATAACTGAGTTTTCTAATTTCACATTTCCCTTCGTTCTACAAAATAATATAACGGGCTCGTAAGCCGTGTCTTTACCTCTTAACCATAAAAACAATTTATATAATCTATCAACATAAAAGACCTTTCAGAGGTACAGGCTATTTATAAGATACCGTCGCATTTACAATAGTTAAATTTGGCACAGTCATAATAATTATTACTGATCGTTCACGGAACCTTCGCACATTGACAGCACTAAAATAAATGGTATATATTATTATACACAAGGGGCGAATGAGCATGCGTCTCACCTGATGGTAAGTGATTACCGCCACGCATTAGCACGCAAAATACCGTGAGCATTGTATGCTGCAGGCCTAGTAAAAAGGAATATTTGTTTTTTTTTTAAGATTACAATGTCGTATCTGTTCGGAAATACTGTTGCTGAAAGTCGATTCCAAAGCGTGGTTATGTGTGGAAGAAAGTGCATTAAAAACACATATTAGTGTATATTTATTGTTAAATATTATACAGAGTGAAATATAAATCAGTAGGGTCGATTCTGAGGCACCATTTTTTTAAACAGCGAAACCTTTATTGTAAGAACCTATAAAAATTTTTCCCCAAGATTTTTCTATGGAGGAGGCCTATGTTCAACAATGGACAGATAATGGGTGAGATGATGTTGATAATTGTATATAAAACAATAATTTCACGAAATTTTCCAATTAAAATATTAGTTTCAAATATAAATTTAGAAAAATTTATTCCAACAGCACCATTCCAAGGTTTTTATACCAATGTAACAATATTTACTCTAAAGAAAAATGGATCGAATAATACAAAAAAAAAACCTTCAACCTCATAATAACTCATTCAAAGCATTTAAGTCATGATAGTTTAAAAATTTTGTTATTTCCCAACCAATGTCCATTTGGGAAATATTTACTGTCACAGATAGGACTCCCTGGAGACTTATGATGTCAATTTAACACTGTTTATACGACATGCGTTTTTTACGATGGTGTTTTATTTTGTTTCACTATTTTATAGTTCACTTTAATTACTCGATTATCTAATTATGACATATAAGTCGTGAGCATTTCTTAAAATTAACTAACAGAAATTACTCCGCGTAATAAACCATTCAATCTGTATCTATACAGCTTCAAATCCTGTTATCCAAGAATCGAACCTGTATACTAAGATAAAACTAAAATTTCAATCCACGTTATTACGTAACCCTATTGGGTAAGCATTTTAATTTATTTCAGACAAGCTTGCCTTAACCAGCCATTGAATCTCAGACTGTGCAAGTGTGAAATTGGGTTACTAAGGTTTTTAAATAAAACGTGACTACATAGAACATTAAATGATATAATAAAAAAAAGTTAGTTAATTACTGGCATGTATTATTTATTGCTGCTATAAATGAGGGCCTACCTTAGCTTTTTTTATATTAGATGCAGAAATATAAAATTGAACCTAATAACATTGATAACAAGGCTCTATTAATCAAAACAACGAAATAATTATTTATTAATATTGAAAATTGGACTTAATATTAACAAAAACTAAGTGCAATTTCCTTTAACAAAATGGACGTATGTAACTGTATCAAAAACGTGGTGTCAATAAGCGAAGGCCGGGTTCCCTGGCAATCTGTTTACAGTTCTAGATGGTTTTGGCACGGTTTTGCTTACTTATTAAAAATAGAGAAAAAAAATACTACAAAGTAAAAGAAAGAATGTAGACAAAAAAAGAAATAAAAAGAAATAAAAATTCCTTCTGTAGGAAACAAAATTCAAATTCAAAATAACTGGTTTTTTTTAGGAAATACTTTAAAAAATTAGTTCTAAAAAAAAGAAATCTAATTTATATTTAGAAGACTATACAGTACCCATAGTTTTATTATTGCACAAAGTTAGATTTCATGCAAAATCGTACGGCTGATCATATGTGATATTTTTAAGATTTTACACACTGGTCAATATTGTAAAAAAGTGATTCTTTATCTGTATTTTTTTTTGTCATAGAGCACATAATGTTGTTGTCGTCCTAATAAAAATAACTAGATCTTTATATTGAATTACAATATTCCAATCAACGCAGGCACAATTTAAAAATCATAGTCTTGGAGTCGTATTGCGATTAACAACGTTAAAATTCTTAATAATAACAATAAAAAGTAATTAACAAAAAAAAAGTTGTGTCGAATAAAACAAACCATCGAGAACATTCCGAGGGAAATTAATCACTTTTTATATAATAATAATAATAATAATATAAATGCAATAATTTTTATTTTTAATCTTTATACCAAAAATGCTCTAAATATTGAATTACAAATGTATATACATCGCCAGCTATGTATAGTCTGTGGCTCACAAAAATGTAAAAAAAGAAATCTCTTTCCACCAAATGTGAGACATTGAATTTTCAACTAATATTTTCTTAAAATTCTTTTTATTATAGTAATATGTATAGGTAAGTAGCATAGTACACTTACATTCTAATATGACACAGTTACAATAAACCTATTTTTTATACATTTACATCATGTATGTACTTACACATATACAAAGACCGTATTGTACCAAATCGACCTCAAATATCCGATTCACTGACCAATGGAAAAACAATAAAACTGAGAAGAAATTTTATATTTCTTTAAAACATTCATATTACGGAATACATTGACTTAATGTTGTTAATTCATGAATGTAAATATAGTTGGTTACAATTAATTTATTATTAAGATAAAAAAAAAAAACTCATTAATACCTTGTAACGATTGCGTTAGGAATCTCCATTATGTATTAGTGAACCATATACATTCTATTACAAAAATATTATGTGTACGTATATATATTTAATGTATTTAAATGACATAACTGTATTAGAAACTTCATATAAACAAAAGGTTGTATCAAAATTATAAAAAAGTTAATTTGTGATAATTCTGTAAAAATACATTATATATTTCTGTATTCAATTGTACAATACAGTATTAAAGTTTTTATATACTGTAATTACAATGAAAAAATAACCATTTTTTAATGGAAAGAGTATAGAAACCAAAACTCGATAGTAATATTTGTAGAATTGAACAATTTTCCCCCAACGTTATTCGAACATATGAAATGCAATTTTGGAAATTTCGATATTAGAAATCAATTATTATGGGCACATAATGAGGTCAATTTCTCTAAATTCACATCGGAAAATATTTTAAATCGATAATTTTCGGAGAATTCTGTCACGGACCACCGGGAACTAAATTTAAGTAATTCTGACTCGAATCTTGTCATTCATCATTTGAACTGAATTTTTAGTTCGAAAGATTAAGAATGATTCTTTAGAATTTTAGAACTTTTTATTCCTAGGATAATGTAAAAAAAAAGGTGACTAGAGAAATCGAGTAAATATTTATGGTCGTATTTGTTTTATTCCTTAGTCACTACCTTACATTAATATAGGAATACTCGAAAAACTCGAAATAAAACTCTTTATCAGTTTCACCAGTACGGTAATAGTGGGCAAGAAACCTCTTCTTATAGTGTGGAAATAGTAAGTAAAAGTTAACTAAACAAATCGAGTAAGTATTTATGGTCGTATTTGTTTTATTCCTTAGTCACTTCCCCACATTAATATAGGAATACTCGAAAAACTCGAAATAAAACTCTTTAACAGATTTCGCTAGTGTGGTAATAGTGGGCAAGAAATCTCTTCTTATGGTGTGGAAATAATCCCACATTAAACAAAATTTATTATTTTTATTTTTCACACATCGATATTGAGGAAAGATTTCCAATTTCACAAATATTAATTACTAATTTTTTTTTATATAAAATATATATTAAACAACCTGTATTTCACGTTTGTTCGTTGAAAGGACGAATCGGTACAATATAGTGGTAATAATTTCACTCATACGTTGTGACTAATCTATCCTACAACAGTCTAAAGTGTTCCGTACAACGGAAAATCAATTTTCTCCCCGCAACGCCTTACAAATATATCATACACATCTAAGTGCGAGGGGAAAATATTTCATAAACTAAAAAATTTATTTCTAAATGCTACATGGAACCTATATGGTGCAGGCCGTCGAATGCAGGCAAATCATGGAGGTAAACATATTACTTCATACTTTATAGACACAAGTTAGTAAGAAACTTCAGGGTTTGCAAACACGAGGGGAACTTTGTCACTCTAAATGAACTAATAACTAAGAGAAGTACTAACAAAAAAAAAGTTAAAGATGTAAAAAAAAAAAAAAAATAGAAAACTCGAAACTGTTAATTTCGGTATTTTTTTCATAAAAATATCGAAATATATAAAAATATCGTCCGGACGATTTAGTTTTATTTAAAAGTAGGCTTTGTATGTGAATGATCTTGGTATCTTTTTTTATTAATATAACAGAAAAACGAGTAGAGGACAGATATCAAAACTGTCCCTCGTCCACGCAGACCCTTAAGCAGACTATATTCAATTTTATTTATATGGTGTTAAAGTTCAAAGTGTGAAAAGAACATTGAATTCTGTTTTATGTGTGTGTGTGTGTGTGTGTGTGTGTGTCTGTAGATAATCGATTTGGAAATATGAACATTTCAAGAGAGCGTTGAAAAATATTTTGAGCGTCAGAAAGTTGCGTTATATATCTCTAAATAATTTTCTTTTAAATATTTCTTGAGGAAAGCTTAGGTGATTAGTGTTTATATACGCTTATTCAGGCTTTACGATGGTCAGAAAGTTATATAAAATATATATTTATCGGATATTTAGATAAACCACATACACAGATGGAAAATAACCTAAATAATTCATGGTTCAACTAAATTCATACAATTAAAATATATATTTTATACTGGTTAAATTAATTTACCAAATAAAGTAAAAATGGCAAACAAATCTTGGGATAAGTACACTACACTACACTGGCACATTTAATGTAGTTACAAGAGTACATTTTTTTTTTAATTCAAAATTCAAAATTCAATAATATTTCATATATTAAAACAGATATTATAGAATCTATTAAAAATTAAACACATTCCCGAAAATATATAAACAATAAATATTTAGAAGTTTCATTTATAGTTTTAGACGTTTAATTTAATGTAAGAATTATGAATAAACTCCTACGATAGACACAGATATAAAAAATAATCAGAAAGTATGTACTCCAATTGCAGTTGTCCAATATGTCATATATACATAAAAAACAAAAACGTAGAAACAAAGCGAATTAATTATATTAGTGTTCGGTACTAAGCTTTCCTCTTTGAACAAATATTTAAAGTGAAACTAATGCCACAGCATAGAAAATATTCAAGTAAATAGAACAGTGTACATCAAGGACATCGGGTAGACCGGTCACGAACTGATCGAATTAACTCTCATATTTTTATATCCAAATATATAATTTTTATATTACTTAAACTGCTGCAGCTTAAAAAGTGAATTAGAATTAATTAGATGTCTATTTTTTTTTTATTTTAGGGAGACAAACATGCAGACGGTCCAACCTGAAGGAAAGCGGCTACCATCCTTTTTTTTAATACCACTTAGAATGGCAAACAAGCTGACGGCCCACCTGATGTAAAGTGGTAACCATCGCCATAGACATGAGCAGTACCATGGACATAACAGAGTATACTGTTTCACCCATGATACCCCCCATGCGTTGCCATTCCTGAGGACTCAGGTGTTATTCCTACCCAGTAAATTCACGCCGTACCCCACCGTTCAAACCGAAACACAGCCATGCAAGCACAACTGCTTCACGGTTGAAACACGAATGGAACAGAGGTACCCAAACAATCGACTTTTGTACAAAGTCTCCCTCTGGTACCGTCGCCCATGAATACCTGATTCACGAGAGGAGTCACTTGTGCGTCGCCGATCTTTAATTCAAGAGATAGTGTATCTAAGTTCAAAAACTGATTTAAATAATAATAAAGAAATATCGAAATATCCAAACACCTTTAGACTCTTTACATTTATAATTTTTTTAAATTTTATTTATCTATTTTTTCAGAATGTTTAATTAATAGAGGAAAAGTCAAGAGACATACAAAAAATATTTTTGTTTCAATGCAATAACCGTCACGCCTGTTTCCCATTGGGGTAGACAACAACTTTGTAACACAAAATGGCCCATTTCGGTTAGACCACTTTTGCGGTCTCCTCATCCGAATTATTATATTATTAAATTATTATATGAATGAAAATATGAAAATAAAAATCATAATATGATTTTTTTTTAATTTAGAATCTAGATCCCACATTCACAGCATGAAGTGGTGAGTTAACTTAATTATTTTGAATCCTTTTAAATAAACAATAATTAACCAAAATGGCACAATTGTTTTGACTAGCCATCATAAATAGATTAAAAAAAAAAACTATGGCAAAAAGACTTGCTTCCAAGCTAAAATTTCTTTAAAAAAAAGTTAACAAATCTCAAAGTGCTAATGGGTGTCTTATTTTTTTTATCGTATTATGTGTTTTTAAAGGTATGTGCGACTGTTAACAATCTATTACTCAATCATGAGCAAGAGTTGTACACTCTTGATTTGTATCTTAATCACGTTTGCAAAATTATTTGAACCTAATATTATTTTTATTCAATAACAATGAATAAAGAATAAATCAATGGTTATTCTATTTTTTTTTTTTTATTCATAGACAATGGATAGCGTAAGTGCATTTAGAAATGTTATTTAAAATTATTTATTTGGATAGAAAATTATGAGTGAAATATAAAAATGCAAATGACTCGATTCGGACTCGTTATTGAGATCATTTAGAATGGCGTTTGTGTGTGTGTGTGAATTCAATCATTCGTGCTGAAGGAACCTTATCGATTTAGTAACAGTAATATTCCCAACAAGTAAGTGGTTTGGATGCGAGAAATACTAAACATTAGTTATAGATGTCTTAATGAAAATTTAAAGAAAATGTTAGGCCACGTTTTCACCGAGCTTAAAGTTATACTCGATTAGAGCAGAACTTCAACGCTAGATGGCGCTATTTGGAAGTTTCATCAAATTTATGAGCCAGTAGCCAGGTGAAGTGGATAAAAAATATCAATCGATTTAAGGCGACGAATCACAAATATTAGAAATCTCAATTTTTGTCAACAATTACGAGACATTTGGGACTGATATTTGTGTATTTCATTTATCATTTCCTTAACACGTGATTGATAAAAGAACCGTGTACCGATATGGGCCATGGTGCGCCCATTGATGAATCACATACTAAAGGCTAGGGGTTCACGAGTACAGTCGCAGAAAAATAGTTTTATTGTTATCCAAATTCAACCCAACATTGATGACTTAGTTGACATTTATCTCTGTGAAGATTCTTCATCAGAATCATTCAAATCTTCAAAATATGTCTGCCATTTCTGTTGAAGTAAGTTTTATTAGCTGTGTCAGATGCTTTGTATATCCTGAATACCAAATAATAATTGCTATGTGAGCGCAACAACCTACGGTTCGAACCCCATTTTTGTAGGTACAATAGAAAGACTTTATTGCGTCTTTTCCTTGCATTTTTTTGTCAGTTTCAAAGTTTAAATTTTGACCGTTACCACCGTCACCGAGAGGAGGTGCTCTGGTCGTAAAAAGAATTACAGTGTCCTATAATATTTCACAGATAAATTATAGGCGATATTGTCACAAATGAAATGGGTTCCTGACACCTTAATATAATATAACGCAGTTAACTTTTTTGCTAACGAGGTATCCCCACCAAATATGTTCATAAGAACGATATATACTACCGATATAGGTGATGCACTATCTAATACTTCGGGACTCGTCATGGCCCAGAACCCATACTATCCGGGGCACGGTTCTTCGTCATGGCCCAGAACCATAGATACTATCCAGGACACGGTCCTTTCATAACAGAGAACAAAATCGCAAAAACTGTTTTCTTTAAACAGGTTTACATTTTACAAGGAAACGGGACTGATTTAAGACTTAAAATTTTCTGGATAGATTAAACTAACACATCAATATGCACATTATTTTTTATGTAATAGTAAATAGTTTTTAAATTAAACAAGACATACTGATTTGGCGAATAAGACCTTTAAAAATTAACAAGCTCACGCAGATTTTTGTATGCATTTTGCACCCCGCAGTCGGACTTCAGGCGAGCACAGCCCGTCGGTAGCAAACGTAAAATTACTGGGGTTTAAGTAGGTTGTGGAGGGGGGTGGGGGGGGGCAGCATCCGATTTTTAAATAATTGTTTATTTTTAAAGCGTTGCCTTAATAATCACAAGCATGCTCCACGTCTTCACCCTCGCTAATGGCCAAAAAATTTGTTTGTAAACGTTTGATAGATTTATAAACAATAATTATACACTAAAATGCCAGTATTTCTCGTTGTCAAACAACAACAAAACATTTTAGCACCTGTAAAAATAATCGTCGGACTTGTAAGCAGACAACTACGTGAAGTTCTAAACGTAGCAGCTATTGTCCTTACTTGTATCACAACCAACACGACTCGTTTCCGGACCCGAATACTAGATGGCGCTCGTTTGTTTTTAACAACGTTTCACAGATGGCGCTTATTGAAAATTATCACATCAAAAACTAGTGAGCACGAACACCGTTGAAATAGTGAAGTGATCATTTTCAGTGTATAAAAATATGACTAGTTGCACAATATTATAACTTTACCTCGGTTGTGTTAGTCTCTCAAGCTAAAATTATTATATGGTACACTGTATCAAACGCCACTGGTCCGCGCACTGTCGTGTTCTGGCAGGCACCTTTAAGATTCCGCTGTCACTATGATACTGATATGACTTCGTGGCCCGGTCTCGCTTGCGCCGCTCGCGGCCACGACTGGGATGTCAGCTGGCCGACAGAGAGGGGGTTATTTGCGTCCCTGGGGTTGGTCCCTACAGGGTTGCGGGGAGGGTTTGGTGGGGGGTCGGACGCTGGTGACGCTAGAGAGGAAAGGGCGCTGAGCCCTCCCGGACTGGAGGCGGAGTTGAGGGGTGTGTCGATGTCTCCGTCGCTGGACGCGTCTGACATTTCCTCCAGCTTCACATCCTCTTCAGAACATGGTGACTGCGGGGTCGCCATCGGCATCGCGATGGTCCCTGACGCCGCTGCCAGGGCTTCCATGTAGCGTACGCATTTTTTCTTCCGCCTGTTAACATTTATACGTATAATAAGTCATAACATATCAATTTTATATTGTGATCTTTTCATAATCTTGGTGAACTAGCACATTTATTGTGTACATGTATATACATATGTAACGGAAAATTAATGAACTCGTTCATACATTACCGTTGCATATATATATATATATATATATATATATATATATATATAACAATAAACCTATTTTTACATATTATAGCGTATCTTATCACTTTCTTTCAAGTAAAAAATTTTGCTAGAAAAAAAGAGATAAAACACGTCAATAACTAGATTAGGTTTACTAGTCATTTGAGATTTTGATATATTTTTAACAAACTATATAAATAACTGTAACATTAAATATAACTATTTTCAAGATTATGATAAGATCACACAAACAAATATATAATAAGCTAAAAAATTACCTACTTAATAGTAAACACAGATTAAGAGAAAAAAAAAAAACAATAAAATAAAAAACGTTAAACTGTAAACTCCATGCTGGAAATGTTAAACGTTACTATTCGAACGAATGGTTAAAGCACTCGGAACACAATAACTGTACACTCATGCTCAGTTACTTGATGTTAAACTTGTAATGGAATATCGGAGCATCACCAAAGCAGAGACCTAGACATTGATTTAATTTAAATAGATGTCGCAACTCAATAAATTTATTCGGAAAATATCTTATAATTTTTTCCTAATAAATTTATAACTTTTCTCACACTTGCATACACACACAAATTCACACACACACACACACACATATACGCACGCAAACACACATTTTTTATATTAACATGTAAGCTGTTATTTTCAAATTTACAATTTTTCAATTTATTGTCGTTGCTAGACATAAAAAAAAATGTTTTCATTGTAACTACTATACGACTTCATTGGTTTGCTTTGGAATCCTACAATGAGGAGGAGGGCGTTGATATTCGCGACACAGTTTTATACTTCTGCGGATAAACAGATAGATAGATATTCTTTATTGTTTCCTCCAAAAGATTACAATAGTAAACTTATTATAAATATAAATAATATTGTAATCAATGTTTTTATCGCGAATAAAGAATTATTATTATTATTACAAGAGCCATCTAATGGTAAATAATTACCATAGCATATGACGCCTAACACAATTTCTCCAAACAAGGATTAAATCTAATCGATAGATATGCTCTTGTTGTTATATATTATTATTAATTTATTGAAATTGAAATCATTTATTTGCTGGAATAAGGCACATTTTAATAGGTGTTATTTTACAAGAAAAATAGTCCAATCTTATTCTGCCAAACTGTAGGCGTGCAAATATAAAAACTAATTAAACAAAAAATTTAAATAATTTAATCATAATAACATATACATTTGCAATGATATTTTGTCACTTTTTGTATCTATTCATGTCAATTCATTGTAATATAAATTCATTAAAAATATTCTATATTCATGAATAATTATATTAATTGTAAGTAAAAATGCCATCTCTTGACAAGATGTAATATATATTTTGTTATTTAAAAAAAAAAACTATATCTATCAATGTACGCAAAAAAGTTAATCTTGAACAAAAACTACTGAGGGGATTTAAATTAAACACACGTTACTTTGTGTTATTCACGCGAGCAAAACCGCGGGAAATTGTTAGTTTTTAATACACAAAGATTTTAGATCCACTTGTAAATAACTAACTCGCTTAGAAAGACGCTACTAATTTCTATATCAGTATTAAAAAATATCTTTTCATCATTCAGGAATTCAAACATTTTTATGTTTAAATATTTTACTTCCATACAATTAAACTATCATTAGGTTCTGTGATGATATACCAATTCTTATAAAGTTTGTACACTTTAAAAGACAGACAATAAAAAAAAAGATGGCCGTTTGGTCCCAACATAGAATAGATCACCCTATCTTATTCTGTGTGTGTAGTCAAGCCGACTAAGGTAAGACGAGGGATGGGCAGCAGTGTCCCTCCTAAAATATTTCTAAAGCCTGACCGCGGTTGCCAATCCGCCTGCCAAGCCTGGTCACTACTGGCACAACCCCCCAAGAGGAAGGCTTACGTTCAGCAGTGGACAGTTAAAGGCCGATATATGATGACTTTAAAAGACTTAACATAATATAAGATATTGTTTTTAAAATAGCAATAATTCGACAACAGGTTTAGCTTTGGTGCATCTCCATACAGAAATAATTTATTAAGCAGACATCTACCTACAACAAAAATAAAAAAAAAACCATTCCAATAAACTAAACAGCAACGTCAACTGAGCAATTGTTTCAAAACACAAATCCGATATGTTGGTGTTGGTAGAACTTATTATTTATATACATTTATAAACATACCATACCCGTAACATACCTAAAATAAATACAGAGGGCCTACCATGAAATATCTTTCAAAATTTCGGGGTCGAACGAAACATAAATTCGATGTTAAAATTACATATAATAATACATAGCGTTTAAAAATATTAAAAATGTTCAAATATCGTTCTAAATATAAGATTTATGACGAACGAAACGTTAAGCTCCATTTACTGAGCCGATTTCGGTATAAACAAAAACATGAAAATGAGTACGAAAATCCGTATCGTAGACTCCTAGATTATAAGTTTTTAAACTTATCTTAGCTATAAGAGTGAATGTTTATTTATTTCTAGTTAACTGAATTAAAAAATAAATATAATTGTTTGGTAGGTATGTTTTTATAAATAAATCTTTTTTATAACACAGAGAGTAAACAAAAATGCGGCTTAGTTGATGTTAAGTGATTACCGCCGTCGTAAAATCGTCAAAATATTTAATAAAAAATATATAGTAAAAAAAAATTAACGTGTAAACCTTCATTTCAAAATGGAAACCAAAATGTTATTGTACGAATATTCGTGATGTTTGATAAAAAAAAAAAAATCATATGCGTAGATACCCTTTACCTACCTCAGTGCAGTGTCGTCCCGTTTAGTAATAAACCATTTTGGTACCAGCTATTAAGTACTAAAGAAACATCTATTCAACTACACAAGGCAACTAATCAACACCAACACATCTCTATCATCACTTCATCATCATCACTAACTGACCGTGGGTCGTCCTTCGGCGGCGACGGGCCGGCACTAGAGGTTCACGTATGTTGGCTCCTGTGGGGGGCTACCGACCAGACTGGCTGGGGGGAGGGGCGTAGCCGGCTCTGGTCGGAGCAGCCCTAGCCCTCCAGATACCATTACGCTACTTGATTCAGGGCTAACGCCCGGATGTTAGACAATACGAGTAGATTTGATAATTACGAAAAGTTTAATATAACAGAGTAAATGAATTGTGAATTAGGTAAAATTAATTTAAATGTTAATGATAGAAGACGTAAATAGAATAACGATAGAAGAATAATGCATGATATATTAAAAATAATAATATTTAAAGAATCGAAATAAATATATATGGAAATAGTATAAAGGATCGAAATAAAGGTAAAGAACGTCAAGTAGCGTTTGGTAATAAAAACAAAAAATAAACCATGGAGCATAATAAACAAATAATGTCACCAGTAGTGCCAGCCGAATGCAGCATCGATCCGTGAGAAGCGGCAATCATGAGTGGAAAAAACATTTCAATAAGTATACAATGTACCTTTACAATGTTCACAATAAAAGATATTAATTAGAATCGTCAATATTTAAAATAAAAAGCGAGAACAATTCAGAAAATGTGTCAAGATTTTTTTGAAAGCTTGATGTCTATCGACAAATGATTGCCCTTTCTCTATACACTTCTCTGCTATACTATTTCCTATGTCAACTACATATTCACTCTTTGTCTACTTTCAAAAAAATCTATTCCGTGACATCTACATATTTGGATGTTATTTCTTTGTGAAAAGACACATTTTCTGAATCATTAACTGCTTCGCTCTTTGCTAATTATATATCGCTACTCTCAAAAGAGCGTAGATATTGTTTTAAACAGAAATATAAAACAGAAAACACAACATCTACAACGATTTTTATTTAAAAAATAAAATTAAACTTAAATTGTACGACTAGGCTCCTCTTGGACTTGCCGTAGAAAAAGACTAAACGATAAGCCAAGTCTTTCCACATAGAAACAATATATTAAATCGGAAATAAGGGTAACTAACAATAACGTATTGTTGACGCGGAATTTATAACAAAAATTGGCTATAAGCAAAAAGAAATAAAAACATTAATAAAAGTAATCACCTGCAGGGTTTGCACCACTGGTTTTGTTGGTCGAGGCCATACCTCGCTCGGCATTTCTTCAAATTATTTCCTGGAAGTTGCATTAAATAATGTTAGAGTCCTATCTTTCAAACCTTCAATATTTGCAGATGAAAACGAAAAATACTTTATTTGAAATTGTCTCTTCAGCAAATTAAAATATGATTGCAAATCAATTATTTTTATGACAAAAGTTACATAGAAACATATAAATTTATATGTTTAAAAAAGGATTGTGATGTCTAGTAATTTTTTAACTCTTGCGTAATAATTATTCAAATAAATATTGCGAATGTCGAAATTGCGAAATGGAAATTAATTTACTGGAAATCATACTTGAAGCATCTTAAAAGAATGTAACTAATACCACTACGAACTACAAAAAAGCACTCATGCACCAAACCCTTCAAACATGTTAGTTTCATGCAGAGATCAGGACTATGGATGGGACAAAAGAACAGGATAAAACGGAAAAAACATTGGTTTTAAAATAACATACTACACGCATAAACTTTCAAAATAATAACTAACTACGCTATTTGGAAATAAACCACAAATAAAGATGTCGCTTATAAGCAAAATTGAAGCAGAATAGGTTCTCCGGAATCAAAATAAATTAAGTTCATTTGGCCAGTATCATTAAACACCGCAGACACAGAAGCATCAGCAGCTTTGTTGAAATCAAAATATCTATTTGCCGGTACATCCTCACTCTTCGTATGAGTGGTCACTGCTCGGGTCTTCTCTGATGTACCGTGCGTGGGCGGTTGCGTCCTCCTTGTCATGCATAGTGTCTCATACTCCTTTGCGTACTTTAATACCATATCGAGAAGGCTGTCCCAGCCTTTCACTGAGCACATGTTACTAAGAATCCCTGCAAAGCAATTGCTCTAGTGTTCAAATATTGACTCATGAATAAAACATGCACGCTCCCCAAAATCGTAGGCGGCACTTCGGGCAGAATAGTAAGCCAAAAACCGGGACAACCTTCGAAGGAGTGCCACTTACATCAGGGTATTTCGATAAAATAGCGTTTGTAATTACAAAAAAGAAATAAATAAATGCGATAAATATTTAAATAAAAAATACTGGTATACTTCTACAACCTGTACCCCAACCAAAGACATTCGGCAATATTACTGATGTTCGGTCTAGAGTTCAAAGTAATTGAACTCCCGCGGGGGAGGCAGGACATAACGGGTGTGGGAGAGGGAACAACGAACGTCTCCAAGCTTAATCCTTCATTAATTGACCTCATTTTTTAATGAGACGGCCGAGTTTATCGCCCGTAATGCTGTTACGAGTACGTATACAAATGACAAGACGTCCGTTGCTCGGGACATGTGTGGGCATCGAGACCGAGTGCGGTACGGTAGAACGCGCGATGCGATCACAGCATTAATGGGAAGGGATGATGACTCGATAAGCGGGACGCAATTGTCGACGGAGTGAAAGGCAGTACCTCCATCGGTTGTCTCCTGTTTTCGCTTCCTCTTCTTGCCCCTTTGCGTATTAGCCCTAGACGACCAATCGGGATAGAGCTGCATATGCAGCTGGCGTTCCCGGCGCGCCAACTCGTAATACTTGGCTTGCTCCTCGCGTCCAAGCGCATGCCACTGATAATGGAACCGCGCCGCAATATGGAAAGAAAAGAGAAATGCACTTCCACGATGGGTCACTCGGAATCCGCGCGTCCCTACGCTGGTGCTAGAAAAACAGCCCGCGTGAGCAGCCCTCGATAAATTTTGATCCTACTATAGAATGAGAATGGCCAATTGTGTGACGTTCCTCACAGAACCTATTCTGCGGTCGGTATCGGAGTCGCGGCTGGTCTATACATATAACAAACCAATATAATTTCCGATAGGGGTGTAGGGTGTACAGCACGGTCACTCGACGACTACAGTACACAAAACACGAAACAACTAGCCGGCGCGAGGCGGCGCGCGGTGCGGACGACGAGCGACACGCTTGACGTCGCCTAACCGTCGCGGAGACATCGCGGAGATGTCGCCGCGCCGTCGCCGCGCCGCGCCGTACAACTCCGACTCGTGAGCAACGGTTCCAGCCGCTTTTCTAGCACAGGCACCGCCGGCGCCGCGGTACATGACACACGTAACAGTTGAGTAACACGCACACACGCACACTCACATACGGGACGGATCGGGTTACGGATGCTCATGTTAGTGTGACAAGCCGGTCATTGTGTCTCCCGGGCCCCGGGTACGGGTCGGCAAGCAAGAGTCTCCTCGGGCAGGGCGTTGTTAGTGCGAGGGGAGTCTTGCTCGAATCCAAGGAGGGACAGTAATGGGACAGTGTGGGGTGAAGCGAGTGTACAGAAGCGTCGACGTGACAACCCAGCCCCTCGCGTGTCGGGTACAGTCCTAGGGTCCAATACCTCCCAGCTCAGCGGGACTGCGATCCTTTTTCCGTTTTTTCTTTTTGGAACCATAACCGTAGTTGTCCCTTGCACTCCAACCGGGATACAGCTGCATATGGAGCTGTCTCTCCTGTCTCGCTTTTTCATAGTACTTTGCTTGCTCCTCGCGACTCAAGGAATGCCACTGTGTATTATGACACCAGGATATTGCGTTACCAACGGTCGTTTCCACATCGACGACCAGAAATCAGACGTTCCATTGGTTTGATCCCGTTTCGTGTATTCCCGATTTGGCAACTTAATTTGAATTGTTAATATTTATTTATCGTTTACAGATAATTATAAATTTATCTTGGATTGGTTTTGTGAAGATGCTACCAAAATAATAACGGACGTGAATTTTATTGAAATTCGTTTATTACTGTCCGCGTTTCATTTTGAATATATTAATAGGGATTCGAAATTTAAAAGTTAAATTCGTATAAACGCAATACCTTCAATGTCCACATAATATCAAGCTTGCGTATTGCAAACATTAAGAATGATTCTGTAATCACAAACATAAACTAAAAGTACCAAATGAGAATAAACGAAACTGGACAATTACTCTTGAAACTGAACATCTGTGATTACAATTATATAGTCATGAATATGATACGTTATTCTTGTTAGGAATGAGATTACGTTCTCGGAACGCGTATCGGGTTCGATTCTCAGTACTGAAACACTAGTATCAGCGTTTATTCTTCAATGCATCTATTAGACAAGGCGATTGCGCATTGTCTTTTAAATTCATAACAAGATTAACAGACAAATAACAGTAAAAACGGAACATTATTTATGGCCACTTTAGATAAATAAAAAAAAAAAGAAAATTTACATTTTAAATAGGGTCAATAAAAAAGGTTTAAAATAAAAAATTAAATTAAATAATAATATTTAGAACGACGGATTTAAATTTAAATTTCGAACTCACCCGTCTGCCAAGTATCTGGTTGATGGCTGCGGATTCCTTGAGCGTGCACTCTGCGACCACTTTCGCCCTCATTTCTTTCATGTACAACATGAAGGCGTTCAGTGGTTTTTTTATATGAGGCTTCTTATTCTGCTCTTTGTTGTTACTGTTCGCTGAACTTTCAGCTGGTTTCTCGTTGGCACTACCGCTGCTGCCTTTCTCCAACGACCTGAAGGTTTAAAAATAATTGATATATGAATAGCGGCAAAAAACAATTTTTGGGAAAGTTTGATTCTAACCTCTTTGTAATACATTAATTTTTTAATACATTATAAAATTTTGTAATACATTACAAAATTTACAATAAAAAGGTAAAGTGTAATGACCTCAAATACATGTGATTAAAATGCATACATATACAGATATATAAGTAGATGTAAGGTTATGTAAACACATCTACATGGCTATTGTGACATCATAGACGAGTATTGTTCTTTTTTTTATATGTCGATATAGTGTTTAAAAATTTATTACAAACTTAAGAGAGCATTATAATAATCTTTTACGTAATAGTTTAAAACTTTGTTTTAGAAAAAACAAATAATACTTCGACTGCAAAAAAAGGAAAAAAATATGGGAGCAACACGTTTTACTCGGAAGCTTCTGCGCTTCTAGACGGAGCTAGGTTGGCTGCACTAGCCACGACTCATACGCACAATGGCCCAAATGAGAGGCTAAGCGCGGAAAATGGAGTCCTTTTCACATTCACATTCACGTTTTACTCTTGCAGATTACAATTGTAGAAGGAATTATTAAAATCATAGTATCAAAAAAAATCCAGACAAATTGTATACAATTGCTATAAATTTTAGACATACACAAAGACATGCTATATTTTTTTTAATTTTGTGCTGAATTTAATTATAGAAACTACAATTCTTAAACATAGAATCCTTCAGTGACATAAGTATCCCTTAGATGTGTAATCCCGAAATTATTAGGGGAACAGGTGATAATGCGATCAAAACGGGCATAGACGCAGTAAACAGCTATAACTGACACAGTGTGGATTACATGGTGTCATAATATCAAACTGTTGTAAATAATAATCACTACATTCTATAAAGTCGCTGTCGCTGTCTACCAGAGGGAGACTTTGTACAATAGTCGATTGCTTGGGTACCTCTGTCCCATTCGTGTTTCAACTGTGAAGCAGTTGTGTTTGCATGGCTGTGTTTCGGTTTGAACGGTGGGACATGGAGTGAATTTACTGGGTACAGAGGAATAACACCTGAGTCCTCAAGAATGGCAACGCATGGGGGGTATCATAGGCGAAATAGTATACTCTGTTATGTCCGTGGTAGTGCTCATGTCTATAGTCGACAGTTACCACTTTCCATCAGGTGGACCGTCAGCTTGTTTGCCATTCTAAGTTGTATAAAAAAATATATATATTGCCAACTCCTATTAAGAGATAGATTTATAGAAATGCCACCTCAGAATTGGCCCCTTTGACAATTTATTAACACTTTTAAACACTGTGCCAGTTTAATCTAGCTCTATGCATCAATATGGTAATAATAATATTAGGTGTTAACGACACAAGACGACAATAAACACATACACGTCCTGTTGGAAATAGACGCGTGTTTCCGGCGATGGACAGACACATGTTTACGTTTCAAGATTTAACAAACTCACTGACAACTATGTTTAAGGTAGATAATACTTTGGTTCATGAACAAGATGTGATTGTTGCAAACAAGAAAATAGACTTAATCCGAAGTACATAGTAATTAAATTGCCTTGTTTTTTAATAAAAGACTTGTTTCTCTTATAAACAAATAAGATATTCACAGCATTAATTAATAAGGTTTAAATTTGTTTGTTTTGTATTTGCAATGATTCACCTGTGTGATTGTAGAATTGTATTTAGTCAACATAACATTATCTCTATGAAAGAAAGTTTGTTGACCAAAAACTTTAAATCTTGAATAATAATATCATTGTGAATTAACGCATATTTTTATTCTACTATAAAAATCATTTTTTTTTTTTTATATAAAATAACTACATTACCACAATACAAAACAATAAAAATAACGTTCAGTTTAGAACCGTTAAAAAAAAAAACAAAAGAATGCTGATAAACGACTTCCTGAAACACGAAAATGAAAATAGAACCTATAAACTGAGGTGTCACCAGAAGCAACACTAGTTAATATGTCCGATATAGATTTTTATACAGTAAATTAGTTCCCAGAATACGGGATCGAGTTAAATGAACGACTTCCTTCGAGAGCCGTTTAAAAATGGGAAAATATAAAAAGAGCGCCGGGTATTATGCGCCCGCGCATACGCCACCAAACGAGGTATTCAGTGGCGCACACGCAGTAATTATGTGTTATGTACTGTTTGCATATCAAGTTTTTATTTGTGTAAAACTTATTTTTCATCATTTTAGTTGTCGTTACATTATTGTCCAGGTTGTCTGTAAGAGATTGCTTTTAGCGATAAGGCCGCCTTTTGTATATGCATATTCTGTATAAATACTCCTTGTATACATCTCTATTGTGCGCAATAAAGAGTTTTATTATTGTTATTATTATATAAAGATAATTTAATAAGCTAGATTAATAAAACCACAGGTGTTTATTATTTAAATATTCAATGTTTTAGATTTTTAACGTGTCAAAGAAACACATTACTAGTCTTAATCAAATATTACTTCGCAGCAGGAAACAAATACACGTCGGGAGCAGGTAATAAATGATATTTCATCAATCTCGAATCCATTAACAGTAGATATAACTTGTTGAGGATAATTTTAGACATTAGCTATTTATTGTTCAGATATTGTCATTGTTAATAATTATTAAATATTATAATAGTGCACGTGGTGTTCGCCTGTAAAAGATTTTTACATTAGGCAAAATTATTTTTTGTTTTATTGATTAAGTAGCATGTAAAATGTAACAGTTGTAGATAAGCATAATTAAATAAAATAAATATTAATTATTTTTTATATTTTATCTGGAAACTGCACACACATTTCGGATGTTTCTAACTTTAATAGTTTTGATTTTTCATTGAATAACCATACAACAATTATAGTTAAAAGCTCTTTGTTTATCTATTTTTTGTAGTTCCATGGTAAATCAATGGAATTTATAAATATAAAATTTGCTTTAAATTGCTTAAAAGTAACTTAAAACCTAAAGATAAACTTGTGTCTGTTACAAAATAAACTTTTGAATAGAAAACAATCTTAAAAATATGCGGACGAATTCATAAATTAACATATACTAGACGAATTTTTATATTATTATTCACTTAATCGATTCTATTTGACAGTAACAGAACATCAAATGATTTAAAGTAATGTTCGAATAGAATTTCCTCAAAATTAAAAATAATAAACGCAAAAAAATAATATTTATGGCGATAAAATATTTGTAAAAATAAAAGGGACATGATTTAATAGATGTCGGCGGTTATTTATTTAATTGAAATTCTACAACAAAACCTAAATCAACGCTTGTAGTTTTCATTTATTTGAATCGAATATAAAAACAATTTTGCGTGTTGAGTGTCGTGACGATAAATCGTTGACGCGAATCGAATAAACTGTCAATGTGTCGTTTGCATATATTTTTAAATCTGGTTTTAGGTGTAACGGTTCAGTTAAAAATTATTAATTAAAAAAGCTGTTCCGTCTCCGTTGCTGACCGTACCCGGGGGCCCGTTAACCCGGGGCGTCTCGTATATCATCTTAATTAAATTTCTCCTCGAAGCTTATTTACATGATTGCACCTGGACTTTTATGTATATAATAGCATTCGGTGCTAGCATGAGCGATGTTGAAGGCGAGTCATTTGTCAAATTAACTTATTAAAAAGAAAATTAATCTTAGATTGCACCTTTTGTTTTAATCTAAGGAATTAACATGATATTGTAGTTTATTAGTTTGTTACTCAAGTTACAAGATTAAAGTCGTGAGTTCGATTTTGATCAACATTAAATGTATATTTTTAAACGAATTCAATTCGAATGCGTTCAAGTAATCATACCCGTCAAATGTGATCGACTTTTAATGATTTTTTTTAATAGAGAAAGAGTTTATGCTCATATTAATAAAGGCCAGTTAATTAGTATGATAATTAGTTTCTTTTTTTAAAAAGCATAAAAATATTTTAGATTTTTATTAAAATTTTAGTTATGTAATATCTAGGTTTAGAATTGTTATTTTTTAGACTTTTATCAGAAAAGTGAAAAATAGAATGTAAATAAAAAATATAAATCTATAAAAGCTACCAGTACGTAAGTAATAAAGGATCCACCAATCAAAAATGAACGTATACTCTCTACTCGTACTCTTTAATAGAATAGTACCTTTGACACTATGGTATATAGTCATTATTGTATCAGCCACTTTCCACTGCTAAATATAGCCCCATAAGGAGATTATTAATATTAAAAAAGAATTAAAAAATAATTAAAGTTCAGTATTATCATTCAGCCTTTAACTGTCCACCGCTGAACGTAGGTCTCATAAAGAAGGTTTTGCCAGTAGTTGCCATATCCTGATTGCCAATGAAATTTAGATAATCCTTTATAAGCTGCTATCTTGTTAATAATTGTTTACAATTTTATTCTCTATGTTCTCTACCTAAAGATTGTTTGAGAGATTGCTTAGCAATAAGGTAGCCTTTTGTATCATTTCTTATTAAAATTAACTGTATTTACACTATTTTATAAATGGTGCAATAAAGTGTAAATGAATGAATAAATGATAAGTACAAAAAAATTCAATAGATGGCGAACCACTCGCTATAACTGGCTACCCAACTTTACCTGTACACGTAAGCGTTTTTGACTGATGCATTAGCGAGTGTGAAGCGTTGAAAGATATAAGATTACAGTTCTTTTAAAGGTAATGTCTTAAATGACACTCCACTATTTGAAAGTCAGGTATGCGGTCATCTTGGCGTAAATGGAAGTGGCTGACAGTTTTTTGTCGAAATGCTGTAATTTATTGAAGGCAATCAGTTTGTTTGCTTCTATTTGTGTCGTCGTTCGGGTTCTGTACATTTTTTGCTTACAGGTATATCTGGAATATATGTTATATCGTTCAATTTAACAGAACTTAAAAAGGTAATCAAGTTTTATTGAAATGGTCACAGAAATACTACAAAATTTAGAGTTTAAATGAAAGTAGTGAATTTTTAGTGAAAATTGAAACATTCAATTAATCTGCGTATTTTACCGCAACAACGGATTGTTCTCACAGGAATTATTCAATATGATGCCCACGGTCACTTTCTACCATCTCACAGCTCGGCATCAACAGAGAGCTTACCCCCATATTTTATAGACTGGATGATCGCGTACAGAGCAGTTTCAGAGATGTTTACTTGCTCGAGCGTTCAGGTGTGTCCTTCAAAAAAACCTCGACAATTTTTTTTTATACTACTTAGAATGGCAAACAAGCTGACGGCCCAACTGGTGGAAAATGGTAACCGTCGCCTATAAACATAACTCCAACAAGGAGCTTCCTATCGAAGTTTTTTTAAGAGACTACAGCATGGGGTCGTTAATTATTTATTATTATTGTTAAACCTTTTTAATATTCTAATATTCACACTTAGCTGTCTATATGTCGCTTTTAGAAAGTCTGATTTCTGTAGCATATTAATGTAGTCATTTTTCGATGTTCCTCGTTTCCAGCATAGAAAACAATTGTCAAACTTTTTCTCTTAAAAATTTGGAATTAACACAATAATTTGTTACCTTAAAAGTTGCATATGGACAAAAAGTAATACAATTTTCATGTCACGAACAGTTTTTAAGGCATCTGCTAAACACCATGCAGTTTATCATCAATCTATATCAACGAGGGGTGGACATTGCCCTGCTAATGTGCGATATGATCGCACTATCCACCATTGGGATCTGATATTCACAATGGGGTTACAAACGTTTTATTGAAACTATTTTGTACACCCATTATTATAAAAATTGTCCGTTTGTGCACGTCGTACGCTGTAATAATAGGCACGTGTGATGCATATGTGATTTGGAATTTAAGTGTTAGGTAAGTGTTACGTATGTGCAAATGTTAATTCATACATACATACATATCTACCACGCCCGTCTCCTATTAGGGTAGGCAGAAAGAAATGTTAAACCCTATCACACTAATGTTATCATCATCATATCAGCCCTTAACCGTCCACTGTTGAACATAAGCCTCCCCCGTGGGGGGTTTTTTAGTAGTTGCCATGCTTAACAGTTAGCAACCGCAACCGCAGTTAGGCTTTGTAGATGTTTTAAAAAGAGACGCTGTTGCCCATCCCTCGCCATCTCTTAGTTGGCTCTTAAGGCAGCCACGGGAAAGAAAAGGGTGGCGTAGTATATGCCGGGACCACACGGCCACTAATATTATTAACTAACTTTTAGCCCGTTACTTCGTATACGTAATTTTCAGAAGTGGAAAAATCAATAAAGTGGATTACTTCTAGATAACATATCCAAGTTAAACCTATATCAATTTTTAAATGAGACCCTCAGAAACATAATTGTACAAATTGTATTATTATTGGTGTAGTGTTTTTTGTGTGATGCAGGAACAAACAAAATTTCTTAAAAATATATTGTACAAGCTTCTATTGCTCTTATAACCTTCAATACATTTTTCCTAAATATTTCCCCCATGTATAAAATTGTAAATATGTTAATATGCCAAGTCTGAAAGGATATCGATTTATTCTTTTATATTTATTATATATTTTTATTTTTAGATTACCAAAGGCTGCCTGAAAGAGACCGCTCTTAGCGATGAGGCCAGCTGTTGTTTTCTCAGTGTAATATTTTCTTGTTATTGTTTATATTTATAATAAATTTACCATTGTAATCTTATGGAGGAAACAATAAAGAATATCTATCTATATCACATATAAGTTATGATAGAAGTTGTGTACTCAGTAGTGCAAAAAATTAAAAAACAAATAAAAATTAAAAAAAAATATAAAAGACTAAAACACGTCATCTGAGTAGCATTACAATTAAACATAAATAATAATAAATAAATAGATAAATTCTTCAAAAAGGCAACCAGGGCCCACAAAAGTTTAACAATATCAATAAAAGTTTGCGGATATTACAATAAACATACATGATGATGTCAAAATTAATATCTAATCAGTCAGATAACGGAAATAGGGAACAAGTCACTCATACATGACTAATACAATACATACATTTTACAATAATAAAAAAAAATTAACTAAACCTTGTCTATACATGAAGATATTTAAGGAAAATTAATATCTAAGTTCTAGTCTCAATAAGGTAAATGGAATCCTAAATTATCTTTTTTTAGAAAATCTGTCTGTCCGTATGTTTGTTCCAGCTTCACGCAAAAACTACTGGCCATACAGGTGTGCCGTCAGCTTGTTTGCCATTCTAAGTTGCGTAAAAAAAAAAATTACATTAAAACCTAGTAAGCAGTACTGATGTATAACTCACCTCGCATACCGTGCATGGTGGGAGTCGAGGTCGGCTTTCGAGGAGGGCGGCGGCACCAACGCTGGGCCCAGGCCTAGACCTAGACCACCGCCTAGGGTTGGCGAGAACCGATATAATTCACTGCAATAAAAAAATAAATTATTAATGTATTTTTTTTTTTTATTTTTCCAGCTTTACATTAATAACTTACGAGTTTGTCCGCTTGAAAAAGGTTAAAAATTGAAAATAGAAGTTATTTTTGAGGAAAAGTAGTTTTTTTATGGATGATAATGGAATGGTAGCCCCGCTTGCGCTAACGATATACGGTAGCGGTGCACCAATGAGGGATGACAGGTGACAAAAGGCAGGTCAGTTAGCCCACCGTGATGGATACGACAATTGGTATAGTAACTGTAATAAAAATATGTTAAATAAAGTTCTAACATAGCTACTATTATAATGTCTTCTTCTTTTCATTTAAGAATTTCCTCTTGTCGGTGCAACTAATTCATGCATCTTCCTCCAGCCAGCTCTATCCCAGGCCATATCCTTTCTCTCCCTATACGACATGACACTAAGTGTTTCCTTTATCTGTCCCATGTAGTTAATTCTCGGTCTTCCTCTTCCTCTTTTGCCCACTATCTTTCCTTCTAATAATATATTAATATTATTCTAATAATTATAATGTCTACATAAATAAATACCGACATACTAATGATGACAAATGTTTGTATTGTACAGGATTCGCATCCACACCTAACTGACGGTAAGACAGTAAGACAGTAAGGATCCATTCTGAGACGCAATTTCTCTAAACCGATTTCAAAATTAAAATTTCAATTTGATATCAAAGCAACACCTTTATTGTATTTTATACCAATATAAACTATTTTTTCAATAGATTTACGTTTAAATTATTATAATATTAATTTATGATTATCTATAAAACCGTAATTATGCGAAATTATCGATATAAAATATTGATTTTTTTTTTATTATAACACAGTGGGGAACCGAGCATGCGGCTCACCTGATGGTAAGCGACTACCGCCGCCCATGATCATCCGCAATACCAGAGACATTGCAGGTGTGCTGCTGGCCTTTTAAAAAGGAATATGCTCTTTTCTTGAAGGTTATAAAGATTAAAAGAAATTGCGCATCAGGATCGACCCCAGTATGTCATCGCTACATCATTGGTCTCTCGTAACAGGTACGTAAGGGTATTCTAGTTTGAGGACCAAACGATTGGTATGATTATTATTATCATCAATTTATTCATCATCATCATATCAGGCGTTAACTATCCACTGTTGAACATAGACCGCCCCCATAATGGGGCATTTACCATTAGTTACCACGCTTGGTACACGCAGTTAAGCTTTGGTGACATTTTAAAAGAGACGCTACTGCCCATCCCACCACCATAAAGATTCCTTATTCGCCTTTTAAGAGAACCACAGGAAAGGAAGAGGTGGCCTTTTCCATGCTGGGACCACACGGCAATTATCAATTTATTACTTATATGATATTACCTGGATAGACTAGAACTTGGTATCGGCAGCGAGGTGGGGTACGGACTTCGGAAACCGCTCGCCGCCGATGATATGGGGTACATGCTCGGGGTATGCCTGCAAAACGAATACTGAATTAAGCAACATGTCAAACGATTATAATAGAGAAGTCGAATTTTCTATAGTTTCCTTTAAGAAAATTTTTCAAAAGTATGTAGAAATCTAATTCCGTTTTCGAGAAATAAATATATTTTGCTCGGATATTATGAGAGTATTAATATAGCTATTCAGCTAAGGACCGTATTTTCTAAACAATTCTGCACAAACTTCAGTTTTTCGCTTTAAAAAAACTTCAGATTTTTCCCCCTCTATCAATCGGACCAAATCAAAATTTTTAATTTAGTATCCAATTATCAAAGTTCTATTACAGTAACTCGACCATATGGTCATATATGTATCTGTTGTTGTAACATAGTGTGCAAATGAGCATTTGGTTCACCCAATACTAAGTGATTACTGCCGTCCATAGGCACACGCAATTTCAGAGAAATAGCAACACACGTGCCAGCCTTCAAATGTGTTATAGCCTGATGGTGATGTTTATTTACTTATTTATTTATTTTTTGGAAAACGTACAGCTGAATTACAGTCAATACATAATCAAATTTATATCTATGTTAAGCCATGAATCGTTTTCACATTTGCGTAATGACACAATTGATCGGTTTTTACATATGCAAAATATATACATACATACATATACACACATATACATATACATATACACGCATATATACACACATCTATAATAATTAAAAAGTTAGTGTTGATCTTATTATTGCATTAATTAAGTCTCCTATAGAGTTTACTGTGGGCCTTTTTATTTTGTTTTCCAATAGATAATGGATAGAATGGTTCACGTAGGTGAACATAGTTTACTGTTTGATAATTATTTATTGCCTCTAGGTATTAATATTGGATAGTCCGAGAAGAAAGTTAATTCGTCTCCGCAGGTTATTAGGTGGATAATATTTATTCGGGAAATTTTATAAAATAAAACAACGTATTAATCCTGTTCCTTCCTTACGGAGCCATATTTAATAATACTTTTTTACTGAAGTTTTATAGTTTTTTTTTTTTTACAATTACAATATAAAGGAATAAAATCTGTTTCAGATCTAAACAAATATGACGAAGAGAAATAAAACACACCTAGATCGGATCACTTCTATTTGTAGACAAAAACGGTACCAGCCAAATATAATTATTATAAAAATCTAGGTGTTCCCATATACATGACACACAGCACATAGTGTAAGTATAGGTAGCTTCACTAACGGTCCACAATGGGGGGAAAGGGATTGTTAGTAATGGAGACTGAGAATCCCATTGGTAGCAATATACCCAACCAGGTCGACCTCCACGCGGTTCTCTCTGGAAACTATCATGGTTAATTCCTGATGAATTCATCATGATGAGCTAACTGGCCTGTTTTCATTCTCATCTATCACCCTTTACTGGTGCTCCGCCAGCGTATCCCGTTAGCGCAGGCGGGGTTACCATACCATATTCACCCAAAAAAAGTCTACAATGGGCACCAGTGAGAGATGGCTTTCTTTTTTTTTTCATTTCAAGATAGGGTTGTGCTTGATCGTACCTCACTTTGGTGGTAATTGATGATAAAGTCTATGATGGAGCGCGATTACTCAGAACACACTAGTTTACTTGAAGAGTTCCAGTTACTATTTTTAATCATAAATGAGGATGAAAGTAGATCAGTCAGCTCGTCGTGATTAATTCTCCAGAAATTAACTATGATGATTTCCAGGGAGGACCGCATGGAGGTCGACCTGATGGGATATATTGTTAGCAATGAGGTAGTCACTCTCCATTACTAACAATTTCCACTCGCCCCTCTACAGAAGGTGTCATAGACAAATACTTACCACGAAGCTGCTACTTGTGACATCTCAGGACTGAGCATGGGGTAAGGGTACGTGCCCCCAGGAAAAGGGTACATGGGGGTCCGCGCCAACCCTGCTGCTGAAACAACACATTTTTTCTTTAGCATATTATACATAATAACCACAGGATTATACCAGAGGGAGACTTCGCTCGTAAGTTGTCTGCTTGGGTATCTATGGGATATATATGGGATAAACCCACTCGAGTTTCTGCCATGAAGCCACTACGCTTGTATGGTAGTGTTTCGGTTTGAAGGGTGGGATATGGCAGTGAAGTTAATGGATACGGTGTCATTACATCATGGTCCTTAGGAACACACATGACCGGTACCATGGACTTGATAGTATTCTGTAATGTCTACTGTGTTGTTCATGTTTATAGGCGACGGTGACCGTCCACCAGCTTATTTACCATTCTAAATAGCACAGAAAAAATAAATATAAGATACATATTGACGATTAACCACCACTTAACTGACAATCATAAAATAGAAATTTCTAACTTTCAGATCACCTAATTCAGAATTAAATATATAGACTCTTTATTGTTACCTCCAAAAGATTACAATAGTAAACTTATTATAAATATATCATTTTTGTGTTTCCTGTAAAATTTTGGCTGTGTTAGAAACAGAAAAAAACAAACAAAATACAGAAGATACAGTAGCATTCAAATTTTGAATTACAAATTTATAAATTGTTACTTTTTAATTTTTCAATATTTTATTTCATTCTTTCTTTTTTTCTTTTCAAACTTGTTTTTATATTTTTTTTAAATAAGTTCAGTTAACAGCCGATAACTGAACCATTGGCCTTCTGACTTACCTAACTTGGAGTCGAGTTGGTAAGGCGGGGGGATGCCCATGTGGGCTGGCGGTGGCTGTCCCAGATCACCACCAGGACAAAATAGTGATAGACCGCCTCCTGTTGGCAAGCCCATCTTGCTGGTCTGCAACAAAAAAAATATGGATTAGTAAAAGAAACTTTGATGGTAGCAGAATTATATATTTTTTTTTTAATACAACTTAGAATGGCAAACAAGCTGACGGCCCACCTGATGGAAAGTGGTAACCGTCGCTTATAGACATGAGCAGTACCATGGACATAACTGAGTATACTGTTTCGCCCATGATACCCCCATGCGTTACCATTCCTGAGGACTCAGGTGTTATTCCTCTTTACCCAGTAAATTCACGCCATATCCCACCCTTCAAACCGAAACACAGCCATGCAAACACAACTGCTTTACGGTTGAAACACGAATGGGATAGAGGTGCCCAAGCAATCGAATTTGTACAAAGTCTCCCTTAATTGCTTAGAGCTCACTTTATAGATATAGTGATCTTTATAATACATACAATGATAGTAGACTATTAATATATTAACTCTAATTAGTTTTAATTCATTACAACTTAATCTACATTTATACCAATACAATTAAGCGGAAAATTTTGTTCGTTTGCACACGTTAATCTCTGAAACTATCAAATAGAATTTGAAAAATTATTTTTGAATTTGATAATTCTTTTCTTGAAGGATATTAAAAATCACGATACAACCGCGGGCGAAGCCGAAGCATACAGTTACCTGTAATTATTTTATACAATAAATAGCTTTTATCTACGTCTGACTAAAAGCACATAATTTTCTATCAATTATAATAAAAAATGTTAATAAGAAATTTAATAATACGTCTTAATTAACCTCGAATAAAAATATAGTAACTACTATAAGAAATCATACTTAAAAAATTATAAATTTTGGACAGAGAGTGGCAAAAGAGACTGTGAGAAATGTAGTCTAATATATCCATTGCTAGTAATGTATCTAATTGGTTGACTTTCACGTGGTTCCCTCTGGAAACCATCATGGATAATTCTCGTGGAATTCACTATGGGCTAACGGACTTAACTTCATTTTCATCTATCATCTCTCAATGGTCCTTCGCCAGCGTATACCAATACGCAGGCGGGGTTACTATTCCATTTTAATCCCATTAAAAAAAAAAAAAACAAAGAAAACAAGCTATATATCAGGTGGGATAACAAAGAAGTCTACAAAAACAAACTCGACACCCAAATCGAAATAAAGGCAGAGACAAAAACCAACTAGTCTATGGAAGCGTCATTAGCAAGTAAATTGGCGGGCCCGTATAAATTTCGTCCTACCCTCGACTCGCAATTATGCAAAATGGCGCCACCGAGGGCCATTCAGAACGCGTACTTCCGAGCAGAGAGTTTCACCTCTAATTAACTGAGAATTCTTTTTAACACTATTATCCGAAAGCTACACATTGGTGTAAACTGTTAATATTTAAAAAAAAGACTGTTTCACTATTACAGTTATTCCATGAATATACCACGTATCATGTGACATGCAAATATATATAAACATATATATAACACCGGATGATTTTCATAAAAATAGACAGTCACAAATATTAAAAACTATTTCTCGCTTCTATTGTTTTTATTAAGTACTGACTTTTATTCGCGACTTCGTTCACGCGAGGATTTTCAGTGATCGGGATAAAAAGAAGCCTATGTCCTTCTCCGTCCCATATAGTACGTGCATACTAAATTTCATAGTGATTGGTTCAGCCATTAAGAGGATAAAGAAACAAACAAACTCACATTTATAATATTAGTAAGGCTATAAGTACATAGTGCTTTGCAAATAACAACGACTTAAATAGAGACAATTAACTTCGATGGACGACTAGATGTTTTATAGATACATTAGATTGAAATATTAGGATTTAAAATGCCGTATAATGTTTGATGTACACAAATTGTGCTTGGCTAATACATAATTAATAATTAAGCAAAGTAAGATATCAACTTTTCAATCTGAACAAAATTAATATAGGATCAATAAGGCCAAAAATCTTTGTGTCCGTTGCAAAAAACGATTTCACCACAATAAACACATACGAATAGAGATGCGGCTTCCTTTAAAGTTCTTTTAAAGAGAGCATTTTTGAGGCGATAAGGACTTTAAAAAAAATCAGTTAAAAAAAAATTGGAAATTATTTATTTGATCAGCTGAGTAGAGCTTTCAGTCTCCCAATACGCTCACCCAAGAAAGCATCAGTACAATATCAAATACTGTATAACTATAAATAACAATAAAAATAAATACTAAATAACAATATTAGAAATAATATTTTATATTTTAATTATGTGATCACAAACATTCAAAGGCCTTCTGATGAAACCCCAACAAGTTGTAGACAAATATATCTAATATTACAAAGTACCTTGTAATCTATTAATAAAATAATATACATTTTATTAATATGATAAAAAGACACAAATATGAAATGAACAAGGGAAGACATTACAATGGTGGTAAGTACAACGTTGTGATAATACGTGGTACTACCACGCTGGTCAAAGATAACATTATGTATGCAAGTGAACGCTCTAACTAAAACGTGTTTCGAAATCCCGCATCATTTCGAACAATTAAAAAAGTAAAAGGGCTGACAATCCCTTCATCAGTCGTCCATATTTCGAGCAGGAACCACTTATTAAGACAATAATTACCACGGACAAAGAAGCCTCACTAATTAATAATAAAACACGCACAAACAAAGCACTCCATTCACGCTTGGGACAGCTTAAAAAAAAATACAAAAAGAGAATAACCGAAACGGTGGTCGAAAAATCTCGACATGCGAGGAGGAACAAAAAGAATCCATAGACAATGATGGCAGTCGAGACGCATAATGCGGGAGCAGCGCGTTCTTAATTTGAAAATATTTCCATAATAAGATTTGTCTATGGCGCGACCGGCTAAAACAAAAGAGGCAGCAGTGCTCTTTGTTCAATTGACTGAGCGTAATAATTCAAAAAACTAAAACAAGCAATTAGATAGCGTTATTAAAAGTTGCATTAAGGGGCGACGCTTATTATTAGCTAAATAAGTTTTCTCGTTGAAACTTGCAATTTTTCGCTCGCCTTTTCAGTTTTGCGTGTACATTGAGATGGTTCCTAATGAAGGTGGGCCTTCAGTGGAGTGGTCGCTATTGAAGGAATCACTCGAGAGGGTAGTTATTGAAACCGCATGAAAGCGGCGAGTGACGTCACCGGCACTCGAGCGACAAGCCCCAGTCGCTAATTGGAACTCGCGACGATAGGACGCGAGAAACGTTGCCTCAATCGACTAATACTTCAAAATTGAATGGGTTTGTTAACGAGCCGTTCGGCTGAATGTTGCGAATGAAGTTGAGTACTGCGCATTCGCTAACCGATCGTGTATTTCGTTTCGTTAATGTAAACTATACAGTACGAATAATATCGACACTGCGGAATTTGTGTAGAAAATGAAATTGGCGGATTCCTTGAGGGCGCAGCGTAAATGCACGCACACCGCCGCCCCTACACCCCTTTAGTGCACCAATGCGGACGAAGTAGGGCGTAATATCTTGAGAGTTCGCCCCCGGGTAGTGGGCGTGGAAGTAGGATGCTGCGTTGCTATAGCAACCGTGTGTAGGGGCTCGTACATGTGTAGTCGGTGTGGGTGCAAGGGTGGTGTTGCCGTCGTGTGAGTAAACTGCGTTTTCCGACCTTGGAAGTTTTGGTCTAGTTTTAGATGTGTTCATTTTTAAAGTGGAACACTGCATCGCATCGGGACCCTTTGAACTTTACTCTCAAACGGCTATTGTTTCATGTTTTCAACTCCCTTGCTTTTCTTGAAGTTTTCCAAAGTTTAAGACAATTTAATTCAGAAATTTATAATGTAGACTTGAAGTCAACGTATCTAGTTGTATGTTTAATTGTAACATCTCTGCGACGAAATTTTACTCAAATACGAAATATAAAATACAAGCTCCTTTAACTATAAAATACATAGAGTATTATATCTCAAAATGATACTGACAAAAATATTTCTAATCACTGGCATTCTTTTAAGTGAATGTTCAACCGGTGAAATTTAACATTTTTCCTAAATTGGTGACAAATGATAAATGAGGATGAAAGCAAGTAAGTTAGCTTGTCGTGACGAATTCTGCAAGAATTAACCACTTTGATTACTTAGGGGAACTACATAGAGGTCGACCTGATACGGTATAGGGCAAGCAATGAGGCTGTAAAATCCTATTACTTATAATTTTTACTCCCGAAGGATAAGCATATGCTCTATGCTGATATTTAAAAGGGGCTCAATATTTTTTGTCGATTTCCACCATTGTTTTTTTTTTATAAAATTGTCAGGTTCACTAGCTGATTTCTTTAAAGTGATACTGATAATATCGACTGCACACTAGGCATGGGTAAAATCGATACCACGATAACGAACATAGGTTCCTCTGGATATTGGTGATGAAGAAAAGTTCATCACCCCATTTCGATATCGCCTATACCGGGTAGGATATATTCTCTAGGTAGGTACTCGCAATATTCATTTCGATCGAATTCTTCATTTCTATATTATATTGGATAATTCATTTTTAACATATCTAAACATTGGGCTAATATACAAGGGATATAGTAACATATATAAAATATATAGATATTACAGTGTATTGGCCCATCCCTACTGCCACACTAAATACGAAAAAAAAAATATCGATAAACCATTATACTTCAAATTAGAAAACGCGAATAAAATTCTAATGGGACTACGCTCGCTCCGTTGATTTGACGTCATTTCTTATCCATTTCCGGGGTCCTTCCTTCCAGCCGGAAGCGAGTGCCGGAAACTTATAACGAGGGAAAGCGCTTCCTAGCTACAAATATATAAATACACTGGCTTCTACATAGCATTTTTTTTTTTCTTTTACTATACACCTTTCATTCATTATAGTGTGAATTGATTGTCTATTTAAAAGCAGTCTATATAGCAGTATATAGCAGTTAAGGGACCGCCTGAAAATCAGCGCTATATAGGTACATCTCGCTGGAGCTGTACATATATAGCAACAGCTGAGGCGGCTCCTATTAC